GGTTCGAATCCTAGCTCTGCCAGTAGCTGGCTAGTGCCAAGGGTCTTGGACAAGTCTCTTCTTTCTAATCCGTGGTCGGTAAAACAAAGAGTTGGCTCTCAATGACACCCAGGTTGTCTTTCAATTCCGTGACAAAGATATTTTTCGTTCTTTCTGCTCTCTCTTTCTTTCAAGAGCCTGTAGAACAGGGTAAGAGCACAGTCTTTGCAATCAGTCTGCATGGGTTTGAATCCAGGCTCAGCTGCTTTCTAACTGTGTGACCTTGAGCAAATAACTTAACCTCTCTGTGCTTCCATTCCTGCTTCTGCAAAACGAAGATGACAGTCTCTGTCTCGTAAACGTGTGAAAGGATGAGTTAACTTTCGCAAAGGCCTCTGGGTAGCTCCTAACACGTAGCTGTTCTTTACTGAGCAATTACTGCATGCCAGGCTCCGTACCAGGCATAATAGATACAGAAATGAGCCAGAGAGATACGGTCCTTGCTCTCCAGGATGTTATTGTCTCCTAGCAAAATGTTGCCCAGGAATTTCCTCTCTTATGGTCACTGGTTTGTGTCCCAAAGGGCGGGAGACTCCTGGCATTCTGCCTTTGGCGTGGGGTTGGACAGGGAGTGAGTCCCCCCACAAACCCCCAAAGCACGCACCAGCTGCCCGACATCTCGGCTTTTTTCCTTCCTGCTCCTTTACTTCTTCCCACTCCAGATTCTACTTGCAGTCTGACTTCACAGATAATAGAAATAAATAAAATCTGCACACGAGCCTTTCTTTCTCCTCCCTCACCCCTTTCTCTCTCGAATTTTCTCCTGTCTCCACTGGCTAGTATTGCATCATGCAGCCTCACAGCCTCGCTCCACTTGCCCCGTTTGGGAACTACAAGATCCCTCGGTGCCTCCCTGCCCTCCTAAGAACACACTCTGGCCTCGCTCTTCCTAGAACCGGATGCAGCCATAATCTCCTTGGTTAGTGAGGACATCGGCTGTGGGAACATTCGGCTTTGTTTTCCCCCGTGGGACGGGGGCGGGGGGGCCGGGGAAATTGCCCAGCTCCTGCACAGTCAGCGGGGAAGGTAATAGGGATTAATCCGGGCGCGGCCAAATGCAGATGTGGCCCCAGCCCAGGAGGGAGGAAGAGCAGTTGCTGTCTCAGGGGCCAGCTGCGGCCCGCAGTGGGGGCCCCGGGACAAGAAGGAGGCACTGGCCCGGAACCGACAGCCCCAAGGGGTTCCGTGCAGCATCCCGGAGGTCTGGGGCTGCCCTGCCCGGCCCCGCCGGGCCAGGAGGGCTGGTTGATTGATGCCTTTAATAGACATGCTGGGAACTGGCAGGCCGAGTGTTTATGCCCAAATGCACATTGGCTGTTTAAGGAATTCCCAAATCCCTCGCTGGAGACTAGATTATGAAAAACATTTCCAGAGGAATCCTGTGGCCTCCTTGCCACTCTGCTCATCCTGGGCTGCCAGTGGGTGGGAGGTTGGGGGGACGAGTGCAAAGGGCAGCCCTTTGGCCAGTCCTGGCAGGTTCTGGTCAGTCTAGGGTGAAGATAGTTGTAAACATTTCTTGGGTGCCTACTATGTGCCGGACTCTGGAAAAACAAAAACAATGGAGAGGAAAGAGAGGAGCTCACATCCCCATGGACAGACAGCTGCACAGAGGGAAAAGGAGGCTCCCGGAGTTGTGGGAACACACAAAGGTGGCCTTTGGGGTCCTGATGCCCCTGCCATACCCTCCCCACTCCCTCACCGCTGCAGGTGCCAAAATCCTTTTCCAGTCACAGCGACTTAATGAAGGGTTCCTTCCATCATGATTGGTTTAAAGAGGAAGTTCTTTTTTTTTTTTTAAGTTTATTTAGTTATTTTGAGAGAGCATGTGCACATGCAGTGGGGAGTGGGGGAGGGGTGGAGAGAGAGAGAGAGAGAGAGAGAGAGAGAGAGAGAATTCCAAGCAGGGTCCACACATCAGCACCCGACATGGGGCTCGACTTAGGGCTCAATCTCACAAACCATGAGACATTACCTGAGCCAAAATCAAGAATTAGATGCTTAACCAACTGAGCCACGAAGGTGCCTCTATAAAGGAAGTTCTTGAAACCTCCAAAGCCTCCAAGTAAGGGTGTTGGGGCACTATAATGGAAAGTTTTTAGGAATCCTGACAGATCTGGGGAAGGGGAGGAATCTAGGGGAAGGTCCTCAATAAATCACACACTGGCCTGAGTCAGGATATTTGGGATGTGGTCCATGCCTTGTCACTCTAGCTGGGTGAGTTGGGGCAAGCAACAGAAACTCTCCAGCCTACCCGCTGGGGTTCTGCACTGTTTAGGTGACATGGCAGATGGGACTGGGAAGGGGGAAGCACAATGGGAGCCTTTTCTGTCTTCAGACCACAGTGATGACACATCCCTTCCTCCCATACCTAGTGTATACTTGCCGCTGAGTTTTGTTTTTTATTTTAAGTGATCTCTACACTCATTTTGGGGCTCAAACTCAGGACCCTGAGATCGAGAGTCCCATGCTCTTTTGAATGAACCCCCCAGGCACCCTGCTGCTGAGTTTTGTATGGATCACTGTTCACACTCATTTATATGTAAATAGTTGTTGGGGCACCTGGGTGGCTCAGTCGGTTGAGCCACCGACTTCAGCTCAGGTCATGATCTCACAGTTTGTGAGTTGGAGCCCCGCGGCGGGCTCTGTGCCGACAGCTCAGAGCATGGAGCCTGTTTCAGATTCTGTGTTTCCCTCTCTCTGCCCCTACCCCGCTCATGCTCTGTCTCTCTCTGTCTCTCAAAAATGAATAAATGTTAAAAAAAATGTAAATAGTTGTTGAAATAATACAATATTTAATGAGGGTAAACAGAAGACAAAAGGCTCTTATGCTTAAGTGTGTGTGTGTGTGTGTGTGTGTGTGTGTAGGGTGGCGTCTTTGTAACTGCCATATTTTGTGACCCTGCATCAGGCATCTGAAAAGGCAGTCTCAGGGCCATCCAAAACAGGCTAGATGGGAGCCAAGTTGCCCTGGGATCTGGGCAGGGGAGGTTATGGGTCTGCGATGCCCAGTTGCCAATCTTTCAAACTGATGTTCCCAGTGCCTGGTGGCCCAGCAAACGCTGGCCCTTCCTCCTACCCCACTGCCATGATGTCTGGGCCACAGGACTCTCATCCTCACCAGACTTCCACCCCCAGGCAAGGTTGACCAGAAGGCCCAGCCTCATCCTCCACCCCTGATGATCAGGAATATGCACTTAACCTCCTCTGCTATCCCTTCCGTCCATCCCAGAAACCACCCTGCCTTGGGGCTGACAACATGTGTTCCTGCTCTGCTTCTGGGCTTCTAAGCCCAGCTGAAGGGGGAGGTCAGGAAGCGAAGTCTAAAGTCTGGGGCTCAGGTATAGAGGCTGGGCTTGGGGAGAGCAGCAAAGTTATGTAAGAGGATTAACAAGAATCCTGTGCTGGGAAGCCAGACACAGCCATTCTACCTCGGATGTCGGGTGGCCCTGGACACGTGGGTTCACTTCTCTGGACCTCAGTTTCCTCATCTGCAAAATCTGCATGCTGGACTCCATTTCTTAGGTCTGCTCTAGATTTACCCCTGTACGAGTCCATAAATAAATGTATCAGGGGGGAAGACACCCAGCCAAGTCATCCAGCAGCCAGTTATACAATTCTGAGCCAACATACCAATATAATGTGTGGAAAACAAATTTTATTTCATGTGCCAACTCAGGTCTGTGGGTAGTGTCTCTCCGGAGTGCTGGGTGAAGAAGGAATCTGAAGCCTTATCCAGCAGGAGACAGGATGGTTTAGGGTTAAAAGCTGGGCTCAGAGACAGCCACCGCTCCCCTTAAGAGCTGTCTGATGTGAGCAAATTACTCAATCTCTCCCAGCTCTGGGCTGGTTGTGATGGTGAAAGAGATAATGCACAGTGAAATCCTCGCATGGGGTAGGCACATAATGCCCCACGCAGATGCATCAGGGCTGTCTGGGGCGGGCATAGGAGGGTCAGGGAGGGAGGTGGGCCAGGACGGAGCCCTGCCCTGTCACAGTATCTCCTTTCTCACATCGCGGTGATCATCCTGGCTGATCACCCTGTTTCTCCCAGGGGTGAGATTAGGAATCTCCCTGGGATAGAATCAAGTCAGAGGAGATGGCCCATCCCCAAATCCTCATGAAACAACTACGTTGCTCCTTTCTTTTTCTTTCTTAAAATTTGTTTAACATTTAGTTTTGAGAGACAGAGTGAGACAGAGCATGAGTTGGGGAGGGGCAGAGAGAGAGAGAGAGGGAGAAAGAGCGGGGACACAGAATCTGAAGCAGGCTCCAGGCTCTGAGCTGTCAGCACAGAGCCTGACGTGGGGCTCGACCTCACAGACTGCAAGATCATGACCTGAGCCAAAGCTGGCCTCCCAACCAACTGACCCAGCTAGGCGCCCCTTTTTTCTTTCTATCCCGGAGGAGATTTATCATTTCCAGAAATGCCTTTGCGGCGCCCCCATCCCGCTCTTCACGGAGCCCACCCTCTGCCCCTTTCTAGGGCCAGACGGCAGGAAGTGGGTGGCAGTCTCTGGTCCTCTGACCTTGTCCCGGAGGGGCCCAGGCCTCTCCTTATACAGGTCTTCCTCCAGATCCCGGTCCTGCCCCTGGGCTCCAGAGGTGCGGGTGCTAAACGCACGGCCACCAGACGGGCTCCTTCCCAGATGCTCACTGACGTGCTGGGTCCAGGGAGAGAATTCCACCGGCTCAGCAAATTTCCCTTTGTTGTTGGTTTTGTCTGTTGGCTCCCCTCCCCCCCGCCCCCCGGCCCCCCCCCTTTCTCTTTTTCCTTTCTTCCCTTGAGTCAGCAACGCAGAGTCCAGCGAAGCAGATGGGGTGAAGGGGGATAGACGCACCCCCGCGCAGGCCCTCGGGTCCCTTTGCCTCGTCCCAGGCCAGCCCCGCGCTGCAGACACCGGCGCTTCTGGCCCTCTTTCTTGTCCCCGCCCCCACTGCCCCACCCGGAACTGAATGTCGGCCACTAGCAGGGGAGGCAGGTGCCTGTCACCTGGGGTCTAGCTCCCTGCAAAGCCTCCTCCTTTCTCCTTAGCTCGTTGAACCCTGAAGACTCCAGAACCTCTCAGAAGTGCTTTACATTGAACTCATTTCAATCTCACTACAAGTCTGTGAGCGATCCTATTATTATCGCACACTGTTGCTGTCAGCAGGCAAACCAAGCAATAATAATAATATAATAATCCGAGCATAGCAAACCAGCAATTTTTCATCTGAGCATTAAGATTTGAAGGGATATTTGAAAGGCTCCTGCCCACAGAAATATTACCCTACACTCTGGTCTAAAAGTTTACCAGTAGATGTATTCAGCAGGAGTATGTCCCATGCAGTATTTCTCTGTTGTGTGTCTGGGATATACTTGTACTAAAAAATGATCTGTTGTTTATCTGTAATTCACATTCAACTGGGCACCCCGTATTTTGATGTGCTAAATCTGGTAATCCCTTCCCGCTGGGGCCTGGGAGGTGGGGGGAGGGGGGGAGAAGGGGGGGGAGAGGTGGGAGGCCCCAGGTCACTCCTGTTTCTGCTCCATTCTATTGATTATACTCACCAGGATCTCTTCTTCTTCCTCCTCCTCCTCCAGCACTACAGCCTGTTGCCAACTTCACGAGCCCCCACCCCGGCTTGCTTGCCCGGCAAGCTTGCCCAGGCGAGCAGCTTGCCCCACAGCTGGCCATCCAGGATGCTGCAAAAAGGATACGGGGTCTTGTCCAAAGTCCTTCCTCTGCAGCCCTAGTTCCATCCTGATGTCAGAGAGGAGAAAGACAAGAAAATATAAGAGGATGCAGAGCAAAGCTTCCAGATGTCTGTACTGAATTACCAATGGAGTCTGCCAGAGAGCCAGTAGATTGATACATTCATGCAGCACGTGGTTATGTACCAGGGATACGGGAGTGAACAGCACAGCACATCCTGGTCCTGATGGAGCACACATCTAGCAGAACCAATTTCTAGGTAAGTAACGCCAGGTGACAAAGATCATGCCGGGAGACAGCACACGGCAGGGTCCCAGTGCACCCAGAGGTCAGGGGGCTGGGGCAGAAAAGGACCCCTCAAAGAAGAGATGAGCTGAAACCCGAGGGCTGAGCAGGAGGTCTCCAGGTAGAGGGTCACAGTGGGTAGCTGGGGGATAGGGTAACAATATTTTTGAAGTTTCCAAAACAAGAGAGAGGCTCTTGGAAATATTATGCTGAGTGAAAAAAGCCAGACACAAAAGGCCACGTATTGTATGATTCTCTTTATATGAAATGTTCAGAATCGGTCAATTCATAAAGAAAAAAAGTAGGGGCGCCTGGATGTCTCAGTCAGTGAAGCATCCAACTCCTGATCTCAGCTCAGGTCATGATCTCACGGTTCATGGGATCAAGCCCCCCATTGGGCTCCGTGCTGACAGCAAGGAGCCTGCCTGGGATTCTCTCTCTCCCTCTCTCTGTCCCTCCCCTGCTCTCTCTCTCTCTCTCTTTCTCAAAATGAATAAGTAAACCTTAAAAAAAATAAAAAAGAAAGCAGATTAGTGGTTGCCAGGCCTGGGGGATGAAAATGTCACAGGGTTTAGAGAGAGGTAATGGTTGCACAAACTTGTGGCTATTCTAAAAACTACTTAATTTTACACTTCAAAATGATGAATTGTATGGTATGTGAATTATGTCTCAATTTTTCAAAAAGGGGTTGCGGTGGGAACCTGAGGCCCTAATGAGCAGCCAAATGAAGCCCAGCTCACATGGGACGAAAGGGAGAGGTAGGCCAGGCCAGATCCTCCAAGATCACCTTCAGATGGACTTGATCTGAGGGCTGTGGAAAGCCAGGGGAAGGTTTGAAGCTGAGACTGGTCAGCTTGTCACTTTAGAAAGACCCCTCTGGCTGCAGTGTGGAGGGTGCATTGAATGGGGGCCAGAAACACCAGTTAGAAGGCTGCTGCCATAGTCTAGATGAGGGATCGTGGGGACCTGAACCGGGGCAGCAGGGAAGGAGAGAAGTAGGATTCAGGGGAGAGACAGGCGGAACGACAGGGCTGGGGATGGCTGGATGTGGAGGGAAGGGTGGGAAGAGGAAGGAGTGGGGTGTGCCCCAGGGAAACGGATTGGGGACCACTTACCGGGACAGGGAAGCCTGGGGGCAAGCCCAAAGGAGGGGATGTCTTGAGAAAAATGGTGTGGTCCACCTTGTGGAACACCACAGGGAGTCAAGCAGGTGAGGACACACAGGCGTCCACTGGATTCAGGGACAGCTCGGTCACTGATGACCCTTGAGGGGACAGGGCTGGACTGATAAGAGACTGAGGCAGATTGAGGAGGATGAATGGAGGAGGAAGAAGCAGAAACTGATTCTTGGAACAGGTTTGTGAAGGGGAGAAGTAAAACAGGGGTAGAGCTGGCAGGGCGGGAGGGAAGCAACTTGTTTGAATTCTGAGAGCCTGGACAGGCGGCTGTATAGGGTTTCTAAGGAAGTGGGTGGAGCCAGGAGCACTGGCCTCCTTGTGGGAGGAGGGATGGACCGGTTTCTGGTTAGCAAGAGGGAAGAAGAAGGGGCAGAGCTGAGGTGGGTGGTGCCAGGGTTTGTAAGCCCGGAGAAGAGGGAAGGGAATCGCCACACGACTTCTATTTTATCGCTGAAGCAGGGGACAAGGTCAAACGGGGAAGCTCTAGGCAAAGGAGAGGGACTGGCCCAGCATATGTCTGAACTGGCTCAGAGAGCCTAATGTTAAACTTCCCAGGATGTTGTGAGCCGGTTGTTGAACACAGCTGTTATTAAATTCTAGTAAATCCCCACAAAAATGCTCAATTATTTTTTTTTTTTTATAAAGGTGCAAAAACATTTTGCTTTTTCAGTGAGTGGTTGCAGTTGGACCTCATCAGAATGAAAAGCTTTTGCTCTGTGAAAAACCTCCTTGAGAGGATGAGACGACAAGTTACAGACTGGGAGAAGATACTTGCAAACTACGTACCTGACAAGGGACCAGCATCTAGAACATATAAAGAACTCCCCAAACTCAGCAGTGTGAAAACCAAACAGTTCAATTAGAAAAACGGGCAAAAGGCACGAATGGACGTTTCACTGAAGACGGCATCCGGACGGCAAATAGCACATCGAAAAAGTGTTCAAGATCATTGGACACTTTGAGAAATGCAAAATGAAACCACAATAAGATAACATGGCACACCTACCAGAAAGGCTAAAATCAAAAATAATGGTAACACCAAATGCTGTTAAGGATGTGGAGAGACTGAATCACTCATACATGGCTTTGGGGAATGCAAAATGGTAAAGCCACTCTGGACAAGAGTATGGGAAGTTTCTTATAAAACTAAGGGACACCTGGGTGGCTCAGTCAGTTAATTGACTCTTGATTTCAGCTCATGATCTCATGGTTTGTGGGTTCAAACCCCTCGCCCGGCTCTGTGCTGACAGCATGGAGCCTGCTTGGGATTCTCTCTCTCTCTGCCCCTCCCCTGCTTGTGCACATGCTCGCTCTCTCTCTCTCTCTCTCTCAAAATAAATAAACTTAAAAAATAAAAATACATTAAAAACTGTTACATACTGTATAATTCCATTGCTATAACATACTTGAAATGACAAAATTAGAAAGATTGTGAGTTTCCAGGGATTGAAGGGTGGGTGGAGGGAGGGCTGCAGCTTTCAGGGGTCCTTGTGATGAAGCTGTTCTGTACTTTGACTGCGGTGGTCACACAAATCTGCACATGTAATAAGACTGCATAGAATTAAATACACAGAAACACAGAGACGTACCCAAATAAGTGCGTGCAAAAGTGGCAAAATCTGAGCAAGGCAGATGGATTGTGTCAATGTCAACTTCCGGGGTGTGATGTGTCCTATTAGAGGTTATCCCTGGGTGAAGGAAGCTCTCTGTATTATTTCCTAAAACTGCATGCGAATGTACACTTATCACAAAATAAAATATTTTAAAGATTAAATTATATAAATTACAATGAAACACATTATGTTTGAACCGATGAACACTGGAAACGACTCACTTCCTAATTATGTCACTACTATCTATGCTCCAGAGGCTAGTTACATCTATTGTATCTACATGGTCGCTGACTGATGTCCTGCTGGTAGCTTGAAATGGGCCACGGTGAGAGTATTTATAGCGTAAGAATCAGCAGACACCGTAAATCAGGGCTCCCCCCGCCCCTCGCCACCACAGAGCCCGTTGTTTACTCTGCCAGCACACCACCGGGCTGGCCTGCTTGTTGGAGTGGAATCGTCTTTCCAGGGCACAGAATCAAGAGTTGCCTGGAGACCCAAGGATTGCTAGGTGCTGCTGTGGTGGAGCTGAGGGTGGAGACCATGACTTCAAGGTGGCCCAGCCGTCCCAGCGCTGTGGAAAGCTGTTGACTGCCTTTGTTGATGGTTGGGGCTTTGCCAGGTGCCTGCAAGGGAAGGACAAGATGGAAAGGGAATCTGGGATACAGACAATTCGTGCTTGAAGCTGGAGTGTGGAATCTGACCTGGGAAGGGGGGCAGGTGAAGGCAGTGGGGACTGGGTGATGGGGACGGTGCGAAGGTGTCCGTGGGCCAGAGGTCCCAAAGAGCCCGAGGAGCGGCAGTGTTGCAAGTGACTGAGCATGTAGCCGAAAGGGTGGGGTCTGCAGTCAGGGGGACACAATGGCCGCAGGTGTTATCTCAGGGGGCACGGTCCTGGGGATTCTGAATGGGCTGGGGCCACTGGATTCCAGTGCACGGCGTGGCCACGGGTGTGGGCTGGAATGGAGGGCAGGGCCCTGAGGATAAGGAGCCCAGGAGTTGGACATTTCCATGGAGGCTGGTGTCTCCAGGGACGGTGGCAGGACTTGGATTAGAGGGAGCACTGGGTGAAGAAGAGGATATGGGGGAGGGAACAACGGAGGGAGAAAAGGACAGAAGGGAGGGGAAAAAAAAGAAAAGTCTTCTTAGGAGAGGCAAGAAGGAGAAACTAATGTGTAGAGCCGGAGGGTGTTTGGGAGCACCATTTAATGATATTAATCGCCTCTATTTTCATTAAAAAGAGCTAAAGGGCTTGGTGGAGAATCTAAATTCCCCCAGGGACCAGACTAAATTCCTGTCTTTGTCATAAGAGTCTGAATGTATCAGATGCTTCAGATTGTGTCCCAAATCACAGGACAAAACATAATCCAGAAAACAAGTGTCCCGTCAGTTCACTGGACCACCCTGCTGGAAGCTCCCAGAGGATGAGTGGCTGCCTCCAGGGCTTGTCTGAGGGAGGAGGCTTCAAAGGCAAAGAGGCATCAACCGGGAGGCAGGAGGTGGGACCAGATTTCAGCTGGCCAAGTCTGATTCCTCCAACGACCCAAACGGGGACCCAGAAAAACCCCTGTTTAAGCCCTAGGAATGTAAGAATGGTGATAAGTTTTCTCAAATTGCAGGAACCAGGTCTTTCTTACTCACATATGGATTCGTGCTACCCAGCCCAGTGTCATGTATATAGCAGGTTAGTGGGTGCTCAGTAATTGTTTGTAGAATTAAACAGAATTTATTTGAAGGGAGAGCGTTTCAGTGGAAGGGTGGGGGCCTTGTTATGCTTCCCTTCCAGCCAGATTTTAAATTTAAGTTTGGAGAGGGAAGGAAATATTAGCACAATTAACTCTCTGACGGTAGGCTTCCGGCTCTCTCCGTGGAAGTTTTCTTCCCGATGGAGGAAAGGTGGGAAGAGCCTTCCCTTTGCTTCTCAAATTGCCCCAAGGGCCCTGCTGCTCCAGCAGTCCTTTCAGGTCGCCCTCCGCAGCTAGTGAGGGCAGGGCACCCAGCTGAGCACTCTCCAAGTAGTTGACCCCGTTTCAACCTCACCACTGCCTCTGGGGTGGGGGTGGGGGTGGGGGGGCTGTTGTTACATGCAGTCTGACAGTCAGGACCTGCAGGCTCAGAGAGGCCCCTGGCTGACTGGCCAGAGGGGCGGGCCTGGGCCATGAAACCTCCTTCCACCCTCCCAGCCGGAGCCCACTGCCGCTGCCCCCCAGCCCCAGCCCCTGGACTGAAGTCACAGCAAGTAGCCCTCTCTTCCCCAGCTCAGTGATCCATCCCTCTGGATAAACACCTGCCCCGTCTGTCCCCAAAGCCTGTGCCAAATCAGGGTCTTGTTCTGTGTAGGTAGAGGGGAAGGCAGGGGACGGAAAAATCCAGATTCCACTTTGGAAAGAACTTCAATTTGGGGGCAAGGGCAGGGTGGAAGGAGGAGAGAAGCATAGGAAATGATTTAGAAACAGCTGAACTTTGAAAAACAGCAGAAACATCTCTCGGGTGCTGCAGAGGAGTGCATTTTTCAATGAAGCTGTGCCAAGGGACTGAAAAATTGCTTATGAGCACAGGACATTGGCCCAGGGAGCAGTCAAACTGACAGGGCGGACAGAACTGCTAGGAGGGCAGCTTGTTCGGAGGCAGCAAAGGAAACTTGGAGCACATTCGTAATCACTGAATTCCAGGAGGTCACCAAGTTCTACAGCCCCTCAATAATGTGACCGCTGCATAGGAGGGAGACCAAATCCGAGGGCCACGGAGTGCTACGGCCACTGAATACTATAGTAACCAAATCCTACACCTCACATAGAAAATTCTGGTATTAGCGCTCCAATAGATTAGGTCCTCCTTGACAATAATGTTTGTTAAAAGAGTAACAGTCTTGCGGCCCCTGAATTCACCAGTTGGTCCACTGTCTGGGGAGCCACAGCAAAACGACAGTAGACATAGGTTGGGACCGAAGGGAGGGGAAAGGGAGAGAAGTCCTCCCTCCAAGCCTGGAAGTCAGCCCACACTCGTCAGCCCCGCAACACTAAAATTGCTCGTGCCTATGTTTGGTCAAGGTGGATGTTTGTGGCCAAGAGGGATCTGGGTTTTAACTGTGTTTGGGATTTGGAAAGGAGAAAGTGTGGGGTTTTCGATTTTACCTGTTGGCCATTCTCCTGGGCAGCCAGGGAGCCCTGTTTGCCTGTGACTTTTCCCTGGCAGCTCACGTTGGCCATCCAGAGAGACTCCAGGAGGTGGAAGACGGCTCGGTCTTAGTGTGGTGGCCGCAGTCGTAGGAACTCGCCATGGTCAAGGGCCTCTCAGGGAAACTGCCTGCAAACACAAGGGACCTTGGCAGGGCCTCTCCTGCCGCATGCGGTTCTCCTGCAGAGCCCGCATCGCCTCCCGTGCTGCCCCTACCCCCTGTCTCCATGCCTCTCTCTGCCCTCCCCGAGCCTGCCACAGGAGGACAGGACCGGGTTGTGTCCCCTCCCCGTGTTCCCAGGCGATTTCACCGAGGGCACGTGACAACTCCTGACAGTTGCCTTGGGCTGAGCGTGGAGAAGGGCAGACAAGAGGCAGTCAGAGGGGGCCGAGGCCCAGTTCTCGTGTGCCTTCCCTTTCCCCCACACCCCTCCATTTGGCCTCACCCAGGGCTCCTGGGGTGGGTCACAGTTGTGAGGGACCCCCTAGGACCCACCGCCAGCACCCCGGTCCCAGGCAGAATCCCGCCTGCCCTGTGGCACCTTGATTCTCCCCTGCCTGAGGGGTCACTGAGGAGGGGGATGTGGCCGCTGGTCCAGCTGAGGGTCTACAGGAAGAGGACAGCCACATGGCCACGGCCCGAGGTGTGGAGGCACCCCCTGACCTGATTCTTCTGGGCGGCGAAGAGATTCCAGTACTGCCTGAGCCCCCGGGGTTTGCTTTCTTCCTTCCTTTCCTCATCACAGCGATCCCCGTTCATTGCGGAAAGTACGGCAAATGCAGAAAAATGTAAAGAAATGTAAAAACAATAACGGATGATCCGTAACCCCGAAGCAAGCGCGAGTAAAAGTTGCACAGACTGTCTGCAGCCTTCTCTGCTGTCTCCCTTCACGTGGCTTGTTTCTCTTATCAGCAGGTGATAAGCTGTCAGCCCCGGTGCTAAACGCTCCAAATACTTCGGGATGCTGTTTTAAAGGCTGTACGTGACGGTTAACTCAATCTTGTGTCAGCTCGACCGACCGGGCCGTGGGTTGGCCGGATTACATCTTACTTCTGGGTGTGTCTGCGAGGGTGTTTCCAGATGAGACTGGCATTTGAATTAATGGGCTCAGTAAAGCCGGTTTTCCTCCCGAAAGTGCGTGGGCCTCATCCAATCCACTGAAGGCCTGAAACGAACAAAGGGCAGAGGACGGAAGAACTCGCCCCTTTTCTCTGCCCCGACGTGGAAGCTGGGCATCTCCCCCCATCTTCTTCTGCCCTCAGACATTTCCCACCCTCAGCTCCCACAATCGGCTCCCAGGTTCTCAGGCCTTTGGGCTCAGACTGAATTACACCACTGGCTTTTCTGGGTCTCCAGCTTGCTGATGGCAGACTGTGGGACTTCTCAGCCTCCATAACCAAATGAGCCAATTCTTCATAATAAATCTCGGTAGATAGAAAATAGATAGTTCTCTTCTCTGGAGAACCCCAGCTAATGCAAAAGCCGTATCATATATCTACCCACGTATTTATTCAAAATGAGGTATTGAAACAAAGGGGGAAAAAAGAGAGACAACCCCCAAATGGACTCTTAACTATAGAAAATAAACAGAGGGCTACCAGAGGGGAGGGGGGATGGGAGAAATAGGTGAAAGGGATAAGAACACACTTCTCATGATGAGCGCTGAGAAGTATCTGGAAGTGTTGAATCGGTATATTGTACACCTGAAACTAGAACCACGCTCTATGTTAACCACACTGGAATTAAAGTAAACAAACAAGCAAGCGACCTGCTTGGTCCACTGGAAGGAACAGACGACACATCACACATAATGATATGGGGGAGGGGTGCCTGGGTGGCTCAGTTGGTTAAGTGTCCAACTTCGGCTCAGGTCATGAGCTCACCGTTCATAAGCTTGAGCCCCACGTCGGGCCCTGTGCCGATGGCTCAGAGCCAGGAGCTTGCTTCGGATTCTGTGTCTCCCTCTCTCTCTGCCCCTCCCCTGTTCATGCTCTGTCTCTGTCTCTCAAAAATAAATAAACATTGCAAAAAAAAAATTTTTTTTAATGATACGGGGGAAGCAGTGAACGCCTAGGAAGGGTGCCCAGTCTCCAGCATGTGTGGTAGATGTGGAAGGCGGAGAGGAGAAAGGCTTCCAGAAAGAAGCTGAGAATCAGCTGGGAGAAGGAGGAAAAAGTGGGCACTCTGGAGAGAAGGTGTGGAAAGGAGAAACAGCGAGTGGGGGGCAAAAACTGAAGATGTAAAGTTTAGTTAGAAGAACAGGAAAATGTGGTCAAGTAAGCATGGCCCCAATTAAGAAGAGCTCTTAGTACTTCCAATAAAGTTGAACCTTTATCCTGCGGCTGATAGGGAGCCATCGTGAGGCTGTAAGCAAGGGAGAGAGTGACATGCATGTTAGGGACGTGACCCCAGCTAAGGATGGAGCTTGAGATGACCCGTCTAGATGGCACCTGTCCAGGGTAAGCAAGGTCTGGCTCACGCAGTGGTGGCAATGGGCAGATCAAGGAGAGGCAGCCTCAAGAATTATTTAGGAGGTAGGATTTGTACAGCGTGGCAATGTCACGTAGAGGTGAGGGCAAGAGAGAAGTCTACAGCAACCTTGAGGTGCCTAGCTGGGATGATTTGGTAGATCATGATGCCACAAACTGGAACAGATGATGTAGGAAAAGGAGTGAGCTGGAAGGTATTTTAGTTATTTCTATTCCTGCATTAAAAACCTGCTTAAAATGTGGCCTTAAACAACAATTTATTATGTCTCATGATTCTGTGGGTTAAGAAATGGGCTGAGTACGGGGCGCCCGGGTGGCTCAGTCGGTTGAGCGTGCGACTCTTGGTTTCAGCTCGGGTCAATGATCTCACAGTCTGTGAGTTCGAGCCCCACATCGGGATCCACGCTGGTAGCATGGCACCTGCTTGGGATTCTCTCTTTCCCGGTCTCTCTGCCCCTCCCCTGCTCATTGTCTCTGTCTCTCTCTCAAAAATAAATAAATAAACTTAATAAGTGAGTAAGTAAATAAAGAAAGAAAGAAATGGGCTGGGTACTTCTGTTTCACACTCTGGGGTCATTCACTTGGCTGCATTGAGCCATTGACTGGGAAGGTCCATGGTCTTACTCACATGCCCAGCCTCTTGGTTCTCCTCCACAGGGCCTCTCTCTCCTCCCACGTGGCTAGCATCTGTCTTCTCCTGCCTTCAGACTCAGAAGAGGACCCAGGAGAACCTATGGTGAAGTTCCATCCCTATTCTGAGTCTGAGGGCCGGAGGAGACCAATGTCTCAGCTAGAAGACAGTGAGGCAGAGAGAAAGAATTCATGGAATACCTGGGTGGCTCAGTCAGTTAAGCATCTAACTTCCGCTCAGGTCGTGATCTTGTGGTTCCCGAGTTCAAGCCCTGCATTGAGCTCTATGCTGTCAGCACGGAGCCTGCTTTGGATCCTCTGAAGCACTACAGCCACCCACCTCCCATTCCAGATGGAGGATTCGTTTCCCTGCTGGGAGTGCTGGCCGCTCACAGCTGGGTCTCTCTCCAGGAACCGTCCTCCCCCAAAGTTACACCCTCTCAAAGCACAGCTCCCACCCAATGGCTGGAGGATGTGGGGGCCAGCCCCCCCACCTCTCTTCAGGACAACTCGGAAGGGCCATCCCCGCTGGAGATCTCCCCCTGGGATCAGTTGATGATTCTGTTGTAGCTATGCCGCAGTTCAACTTCTCCTCTGGTCCGGTCCTCTTCCCTCACTCCCGCTCCCATAGGGATGCTGCTCCCAATCCTTCCCTGTAACTAGACACAAACCTCTGTCAGGATGTGTCCCGCCAGCGCACGGAGGCGGAGAAGGAAGAGGCTGAGCTCTGACTGGGCCAGGAAGAGTTAGAGAGAGCCTCTGGAATGGAAGAAGAGCCTCCCACAGGCAGCAAGGTCTCTGAGGCTGCAGTCTGAGGGAGAGGTCTACATGGAGTGGGTAGAAGGAGAGGATCAAGGGACGAAACACTGACCTAGCCGATCACTCATGTTAGAAATTTAGGTCCTCTCCAATTTTCATCGTTATAAATAAAAAACATCAGAATACACGTCTTGATACCTAAATTCTTGTGTCCACAGTTCTAGTCAATTTTTTTTTTTAGCCCAGATTTGAGCACTGAAATTGGAAATTACAGAATATAAGCATTCTTGAGGCTACCAGAACTGTCCAAGGCCCCTGTTCACATCGCCCTTACACAGCATTCATTCTCCTTCAGCCAAACTCCTAAATTTATAAGAGACTTGATTTAGGGAAGGTCATTGATTCAGCTAGAGAGTTAATTATTCATTTGAATTGGTTTGTGCAAAAGGCTCCAGAGAGCCTACAAGAATAAATTGAAATGCTATTAGAACTAACAGGCGAATTTAATAAAGTGGCTGCATGCAAAATTCAATAGCTTCCTCATCAACTAGCAACAACCAATTAGAAAATAAAGTGGGGGGGTGGCAGGGGGTAGAGAGCATAATTACAACAGTAATAACGGTAACAAAATGCTCAGGATTGACTTTAGCAACAAACATGGGAAACGGGAAAACTACATCTTAAAACTCTGTGAACTTTCTAAAACACACGCTATAATTAATTAGATAGAAAGACATGCTATGTTTCTAAATGGGAAGAGTGAATGTGCTATAGCGTTAACTTGTTGATTTTTTTTTTTTTAATTTTTTTTTCAACGTTTATTTATTTTTGGGACAGAGAGAGACAGAGCATGAACGGGGGAGGGGCAGAGAGAGAAGGAGACACAGAATCGGAAACAGGCTCCAGGCTCCGAGCCATCAGCCCAGAGCCCGACGCGGGGCTCGAACTCACGGACCGCGAGATCGTGACCTGGCTGAAGTCGGACGCTCAACCGACTGCGCCACCCAGGCGCCCCTAACTTGTTGATTTAACACCATCCAATTAAATGTCCAGGGAGGTTGTTGTTTTGTTCTTGTTAAACATGCCACAGTTATTCTAAAGTTTACTCAGAATAAATACACAGGCAGGAATGGCTAAGAACAAACGTGAAAATGAGTGAAGGAGAAATTTTGCTTCATCAGATATTAAATAGACAATGAAGCTAAAATTGTGAAAATAGCGTAGCCCTGATGCAAGAATTGGCAGATGCCCCCGTGGGTCACGCTCACAAGCAGAAGCTAGTGTGCAAGGATCTAGTGTCTGATGAAGTCCATGCCACAATCCTGGTGGAAGAGGAAGCATTATTTGGTAAGCGGTGTAGAGACAACTGGCTGACGATCTGGGGGAAAAAATGATACCTTCTCTCCCACCACACATCCAAATAAATAAAATTCCAGTTGATGAAAGCATTAAGCATTGTTATAGGTTGAATTGTATCCCTTGGAAAAACTTTTTATAAATAAATAAATACATAAATAAATATATATATGCACACATTTTAATAAAAAATTATATCTAATTAAAAATTATAATGTAATATAAGATATTAAAATTATATATAATTTATATATTTCTATACCTATATATTTTATATATTTCTATTATATATATTATATATTTCTATTATATATTATATATTATATTATGTATATATTTCTATAATATTAATATATAATTTAATATAATATTAATATATTAAATATAATATTAATAGATTTCTATTATATATATTATATATCCCAACTCCCTGCACCTCAGAATGTGACTTTATTTGGAAACAGGGTCACTGCATATGTAATGAATTAAGATAAGGTCATGCTAGAACATGGTGGGCCTGAATCCAGTATGACTGGTGTCCTTATATGAAGACAGCACGTGAAGTCAGAAGAAGAGATGGGAGTCATATTCTCCCACAAGCCAAGGCACCTTGAGGCTACCAGGAGCTGGAAGAAGCAAGGAAAGAGCATTTCTGAGCAAGCATGGCCCGGTCCACCATCCCCCGACTTCTGGCCTCCAGAACTTGAGACAACACATTTCTGCTGTCCTAAACCGCCCAGTCCGCGGTACTTTGTTACAGCCGCCCAAGGAAACCAACACAAACGTATAAATTAGAACCATTAAAAACATTCAAAGAAAATATAGGAGAAAGATGTATATACTTTTTCAAAAGCAGTAAGGCCTTGATAAGCATAAAAGCAATGGAAACAATTCAAAGGGAAAATCAATACTTTTTATACATTAAAAAAACTTAAAGCTACATAAGAAATAGGTTTATCAAAACTAAAAGGTGAACAGCAAGTTGGGAGAGTAAACTGCTAGAAAAGGACAAGTGGCCATTATTCTTAATGTATAAGACTCTAAAACCCCAGTAGAAAATTGGGTGAACAACCCCCACAGACATTTCACAAAATGGGCATGACTGTGAACATTAAAAATGTTAATAATCATTAATTTCATTAATAATCAAAGCCACGTGAATTAAAAGGTGGAAATTTGCCTTTCAAATTAATAAATATTTTAGGGGTGCCTGGTGGCTCAGTCAGTTAAGCATCTGACCTCGGCTCAGGTCATGATCCCCCAGTTCCCGGGTTCAAGCCCTGCATCGGGCTCTGAGCTGACAGGGAGCTCAGAGCCTGGAGCCTGCTTTGGATTCTGTGTCTCTCTCTCTTCCCTTCCGCAGCTCACACTCTGTCTGTCTGTCTCTCTCTCAGAAATAAACATTAAAAAAATTTTTTAAAAAACCCAAATTAGTAATATTTTATATGACAGTACACTTAGTAAGAGAATAGTAAAAATTGTCTTTCCTCCCATCATATCGTTCAAAGTATAAATTTCTAGTATTCAAAGCATAAAATTCTAAAATTTTTAGAATGCAATCTCTGATACTGGGTATAGAAAGTTTTAAAAACTCATATCCTGGGGCGCCTGGGTGGCTCAGTCGGTTAAGCAGCCGACTTCGGCTCAGGTCATGATCTCGCGGTCCGTGAGTTCGCGCCCCGCGTCGGGCTCTGTGCTGACAGCTCAGAGCCTGGAGCCTCTTTCAGATTCTGTGTCTCCCTCTCTCTGACCTTCCCCCGTTCATGCTCTGTCTTTCTCTGTCTCAAAAATAAATAAGCGTTAAAAAAAATTTTTTTTTAATAAATAAAAATAAAAACTCATATCCTTAAAAATTTTTTTTTTTTTTAAATTTTAGAGAGAGAGCCCATGCTCAGTGTGGAGCCTGACACCAGGTTTGATCCCACAATCCTAGGGTCAGGACCTGAGCCAAAATCAAGTGACAGACACTCAACCCACGGAGCCACCCAGGCATCCCAAAAGTTCATACCCTTGGACCAAGTGATTCTCCTTCTAAAAATCTATCTTCAAGAAGCAAGTAAAATTTAGCCAAATATTTGTCTACAAAAATGTTCATCACTGAACAATTTATAATAATGATAAATTAGAAACAGCCTCAATATCCAACAAGAGGGGAATCATTGCACAGCGTGTAATGTTAAATTATATAACCATTAAAGGAGGTGATTTCAACTTATTTAATGACATGGATGTATTTATAATAAAAATGTAAAACTAAAAAGCTCACTATTACATGTATGTTACAAACCACACACCTGCAGGGGACAATAGGAGATTAAAATGAAACAGACTATCTTTTATCCTAAACAGCATGATTTATAGATGGTTTTAGTTTTTTTATTGCACGAAATATATGTAACATACAGTTTGCCATTTTAACCACTTTTAAGTGTATAATTCAGTGGCATTAAGTACATTTACAATGCCATGCAATCGTCACTTTCATCCATTTCCAGAACTTTTTCATCATCCATATGCTGAAACTCTATACTCCTTAAACAAAAGCTCTCATTCCTCCTTCCCCCAGTCCCTGGTGACCTCTATTCCAACTTCTGTCTCTATGAGTTTGCCTATTCTAGGTACCTTATGTAAGTGAAATTATACAAATATTCTTCTTTTGTGGCTTATTTCACTTATCGCCGTGGACTGAATGTTTATTGCCCGCCCCCCTCGCCATTCATATATTGAAATCCCAATCCCAAGGTGATGGCATTTGGAGGTGCGGCCTCGGGAAGAGAGTGGAGCCCTCATGAACAGGATTAGTGTTCTTATGAAAGAGACCCCAGAGAATATCATCACCCCTTCTGCCATGTGAAGTGACAGTGACATGATGACCATCAGTGAGAAAGCAGGCTCTCACCAGACATAGAATCTGCAGATGCCATGGTGTTGGACTTCCAGCCTCCAGAGCCACGAGAAATAAGTTTCTGTTGTTTATAAGCCACCCATACAATGGTATTTTGTTACCGCAACCTGAACAGATCATGACAGTTGGCATAGTATTCCCAAGATCCATCCATGTTGTGGCATGTATCAGAATATCATTCCTTTTTTATGCTTGGTTAATATTCCATTATATGTAACTTACATACCACATGCTGTTCATCCATTCATCCATTTGGATGACATTTGTGGACATTTGTGTTGTTTTCCCCTTTAGGCTATTATGAGTAATGCTGCCATTAACATTAGCACACTCAAATGTTTGAGTTCCCGCTTTCAATTATTTTGGGTATATACCTAAGGAGTGAAATTGCTGGATCATATGATAATTCTATGTTTAACTTTTTGAGGAATGGTTGGTTTTAAGTCTTAAAATTTTTCTTCTGCATTTTTCAGATTTTCTCCACTGAGCGTGCATTATTTTTATAATCAGAGGGAAAAAATGAACATATTATTTTCCAATGCCTCCCATTGCTTTTCTTTCTTCTCTTTACACATAAAGCACTGCTCCCATGGAGCCAAGCAAAAGATTGCTCAAATTTCCCCCTTAACTGAGAGCAAG